TATTCCTTTAAGTTCTTTTTAAATGACAGATTTCGTAATTTGTATTTAACAGTTATTTTGTGCTTTTATTGTTTTATCTATTTCTTTGTCTTTTGTGTCTGTGCACTTATTTTAATGCTATAGCTATATGAATTGTCTAAAGAAATAAAGAATGAAAGCATAACCAGTTGTTTTGTTCTGTTAAATACAACACAGCAGGAGAAGAGATAAGATAATGGGGTCGAATCTGAAGGACTGAAGTTCATTTTCTCACATGCTTCTGTATTAAATAACTCTGGCCGGCCTTGGATTAGAAGGATGTTGCACCAATGCCATCAGCTGCTCTTATCTTGAAGAAGCTGATGAAACCGTATAAGTGCAGGTAGAGTAGAGGGTCATGCCACTCATTGCCACTCATTCATCAACATGAGTCCATCAACAAGCTTAAAGGTGCGTTTGCCAGCCTTTGTGTTTGTGCTGGAGGCTGTGATGATTGCCCTGTATGCTGTCTTTGTCACATATGATGATGATTCCAACACCAAACTGCAGAACAACGCGACCAACCCCATGGAAAACTCCATGTACCGGGACTACCAGTACTTTGCAGATGTGCAGGTGATGATCTTCCTGGGCTTTGGCTGTCTCCTGGCCTTCTTCCGCTTCTACGGCTTCAGCGGGATGGTGTTCAACTTCCTGACAGCCACCTTTGCCATCCAGTGGGCCATCCTGATTCAAGGTTTCTTCCAGTTTTACCATGACGGTAAAATCCACCTGGGCATAATCAACCTGCTGAATGCAGAGTTTGCCTGCGCTGTGGTGCTCATCTCCTTCGGCGCCGTGCTTGGGAAAACCGGTCCTGTTCAGCTTCTTGTCATGGCTCTTCTGGAAATTCCTGTTTTCGCCGTCACGGAGTGGGCTGTGCTCAAATACATTGGGATAAACGACGCAGGGGGCAGTATTCTCATTCACCTGTTTGCCTGCTACTTTGGGTTGGGTGTAACTTTTGTGCTGTATCGCCCAAGTTTGAGCAAAGGACACCCTAAAGAAACCACCAGCTATGAATCCGACATGCTGTCTGTGATGGGGACCCTTTTTCTTTGGGTGTTTTGGCCTTCATTCAACTCTGCTCTCACAATCAAAGGCGACGATCAACACAGAGCTGTGCTCCACACGTTTTTAGGCCTGAGCTCGTCCACCATCACCGCCTTCGCCCTCTCTGCCATGTTCAATAAAAGAGGCAGGCTGACGATGGCGGATGTCCAAAACGTGACGCTGGCGGGTGGAGTAACCGTTGGGGCTTCAGTGGACATGATGATCTCTCCAGTAGCTGCCTACGCTCTGGGCATCATGGGCTGCACTGCCTGCTTCTTTGGCTACAAGTACCTGACTCCCTTCTTGGCTAAGAGCCTGAGGATCCAGGACCAGTGTGGCATTCACAACCTCCACGGACTCACCGGGCTTATATCGTCCACTGCAGGGATCTGCGCCATCCTCCTGGCCACCGAAGAGACCTACGGACCCAGCATGTATGAGATCTTCTCCCATCGCGCTCCCCCAGAGGGAGACCCAAAGCTGCTCGAGCTGCAGGTGCTAATTCCCGGGCTGAAGCCGGGTCTGGGCCGCACCGCTTGGGAGCAAGCGCTCTATCAGGTTGCAGCCATCTTCTCCACCATTTTCGCTGCTACTGTCGGCGGGCTACTGACCGGGCTGATCATGAAGCTGCCATTCATGGAGTCGCCATCTGATGAGAGCTGCTTTGATGATCAGCTCTTCTTTGACGTGCCTTCAGACTTCCACAGTCTGGAGGTCCTGGAGACGGTGGAAGTCATGGATGGGTCATTATAATATCATTTGATCTTGCATTTCCTGCATAGATAAGACAAATAAAAAAGAGCAGTAGTTCTGTTTTTCTATTTTTTGTTCTTTTTAAATTAATCTGTTTTTATTAAGTTAGCTGTTGGACTTTTCTTCGACATGTGTTTTTTTTCCCATTTAACTTCTAAGTTATTTACCTGCTTGCCTATATTATTTAGTTATTTTTCATGCATTCTGTAACGTATTGGTAATCATGCTTTCATCTTATCTCCTACTTTTGCACCCAGTGTCTTTTTTTCTGAAGTTTTGCAGCCCTCAGATCCCACCATAAAATGTAAAAAAGTCAAATAAGGGTATTTGATTGAATTGATACGCTTGACTTTTATACCTGAATTCAATAAGAAAAAATCTGTCTTAAAGAACCAGTTTATATTTATTGTCATAAATGTAAACACTTCTCTATGTAAACACACCATCTCTATGGAAAGAGAAAGGGAACAGTATAAATTAATAACTAAATATAAAATAGAATAAATAGATGTAAATGTAATATGAAGTAAATAAATGTAAAATGAAATAATAAAATGTAAAAAGAAATGAATAAAAGTATTATTAAATAATCAAATGTATTATTTATTAATTCAATATATTACTAAACAATTAAATGTAAATTATATAATTAAAAATAAATAATATTTTACATCTTGCCATGCTCAATGAGAAGCAGCGAATCAGATGTCACAGTCTCAGTGGAAGTGGGCCTAGTCCCGCCCACTGACTAATAACATTTATGTCCAAGTTTATTTTATTTCAAAACAAATCAATTTAATAATTCAATGTCATCATTTCAATGTAAAATCCATTTGCATATGTTTATTTCATATTACATTTAAAATGATTTATTTCATGACATTTGTCCCCCTTTACCCTCCATAGCCTTCCCTCTGTGTTAATTTCATAGATCCCACTGCTCTGCTTTGAGTCTTGGCAGAAGCAAACTTTGAGTCTTTCCCAGAAACTTTACTTCATTTAAAGTATTTGTTGGTTTAAAATCTATTCAGAATTATGTGCAACATGAGTTGTTATTTGGATAAATACATTTTTCCTTTTCTTTTGTGATGAAAAGTACATTTCATTGCTTTACAGACACCAGAATGAATTCTTTGCTCAGAACTTTGTCAGAAAACAATACATTGAGAAATCTCTGATTAAATAATCCTCCAAGCAAAGGCCTTGAATATAACAGACTCAAGTAGTTGGACCCATTTTATTATTTCCTGGTATTTCATTATATGTTACTGATACCCAGGTTATGTAGCTTTTATGAAGTGACAGGGTCAATAGATGTCTTATCTAATCATGGAAAATTTGAATGTAAAAGCTCTGTCCATGTAAACATGACCATATCCACAGATTTGACCTTCTTTTAGAAAATTTCTCTGCTGAAGATGAGTTAATGGAAAATAAAATATTTGTTTTCTTGCGTATTTGGAATCAACCTTTTAAAAATATCTGAAAATGAACAGTAATGTTAAAGTTGACTGAAGAAGCAGCCGTCTTTAACAGACGATTAATCATCATGAGCAGAAGGAGATTTAAAGAGAAATGCAAACAAGGACATTTTGTTGAAGCACAGTGTGTTTACAATGGAAAAAATCCAAAAAAATGTATGGCTTGGCTCAAATGTTTGGATATTTTATAAAAAACCTTCAGATGTTTCATATTATTATTGACTTTAAACTTGTACATTATCCTAAAATCAGTATCCCAGGTTGAAGTCAATATTTCAATTGTTTTATTATTTTCCGCAACTCGTAAAAATGAGGTGTTTAAGGTGTTGCCTTAAAACTAATCCACAAGAGAGATTAAATTCGTTTTAAATTCAAGAATACTTAATTCTCTCAAACGGAAATAAAGTGTCAAACTTCTTTTGGTTTTAATGTTTTTATGTTAATAGCTTTAGGCAGCAAGACGCCTTCGACTGAAAAGAAGGGATTGAATAAAG